CCATCCACGCTTATTTATTCACCCCACCACTCATGAAATGGCGTTTATATCTCTCACATATATTCACCTTCTCCTCCCTTCGTCATTTGACCTCCCCAAGCTCTAATCCCTTAAGTCTGGACCCTAACCATTCGAGCTTGCTATCCAATGTGAGGCTGGTGGAGCAATGTGGAATTTCGATTGAAGTATGTAAGTGGATATGGTTTTCATGTCTTCATGCTTATGTTAATGCATATTTCTTTACCTAATCAAAGTATGAAACTCAAGTATGAATATGGGTGTAAATGTGAGTGAGGGTGTATGCTATTGAAATTCCTGTAAAATGTGTTCAGATTTCCAAAATTGTGGCATTTGTTTGAGAGATCATTTGAGTACCTTAAATATCTCCTTAGATCATGAAATTTGGTAGTTAAGTAGCCCATTGAATCTATTTTATCATGGAAAATACCTCTTGTTAATATATTATTTGATTTGAAAGTTGTTAATCATTACTGAAGTATGCCAGATTTATGAAAGAAAATTCTAAGGATTTAACGTATTTTTAAGTGGAGCTTTTCACTGACAAAAATATATTATAATGAGGTCAAACCACGTCTAAATGATAGATAAATAAATCTATTTTGAAAATGATTTTGAAATCATGATGAATTTTTTTGTGGTTTGAAAGTTATGACCATTTTTTTATGAGAATATTATCCTGAATTTTCTGCTGTGAAAACAGAAACTTCATTAAAAAACATCAAACATTTGACAAACTTTAGACCAATATTTTGGGTTACCCCTTTTACGAAAGTTGTGTTTTCATGAGCCAAGATTGTCATAAAAGTAGTCTCAGGTCCAAATGATTTTTGAACATCATGATATGCCTTTAAATGTGGACTGTGTTCATATTGAAGAACCAAAAATATGATGTTGTGCGGTCTTTTGAGCTAAATAAGCATGATGATATGATCATATGCATAGTATGCCTTGGACATGTTGATGTTTCATGTGAGTATACATATAACATGCTCCTGTTATGATATGTCAGCGTAGAAATCTTCTGCTAATGATAAATGTATGCATGATAATGATACATGCTCTGGTATGAAATGAATGCATGATAATTAGACATGCTCTGTTATGAAATGATTGCATGAATGAGACATGCTCTGTTATGAAATGAATGTATGATAATGAGTCATGCTCTGTTGTGAAATGAATGCATGCCCTATCATGGAATGAATGCATTATAATGAGACATGCTTTGTCATGAATGAATGCATGCTCCGTTATGAAATGAATGCATGATAATGAGACATGCTCTATTATGAAATGAATGTATACCCTGTTATGGAATGAATGCACGATAATGAGACGTGCTTTGTTATGAAATGAATGCATGCTCTGTTATGAAATGAATGCATTATAATGAGATAGGCTCTGCTATGAAATGAATGCATGCCTTGTTATGGAATGAATGCATGATAAGGAGACATGCTGTGTTATGAAATTAATGCATGCCCTGTTATGGAATGAATGCATGATAATGTTACAGGCTCTGTTATGAAATGAATGCATGATAATGAGACATGCTCTGTTATGAAATGAATGCATGATAATGAGACATGCTTTTCTATGAAATGAATGCATGATAATGAGACATGCTCTGTTATGAATTGAATGCATGCCCTGTTGTGAAATACATGCATGATAATAAGACATGCTTATGAAATGATGAATGTGCATGGCTGTAATAAGACATGCTTATGAAATGATGAATGTACATGGTTGTAAAAAGACATGCTTATAAAATGATGAATGTGCATGGTTGTAATAAGACATGCTTATGAAATGATGTGTGTGCATGGTTCTAATAAGACATGCCACATGATAATAAAATGACGAATGTGCACGGTTGTAATAAGACATGCCTATGAAATGATTTGTGTGCATGGTTGTAATAAGACATGCCACATGATCTGAAATGATGAATGTGCATGGTTGTAATAAGACATGCCTATGAAATGATATGTGTGCATGGTTGTAATATAACATGCCACATGATAATGAAATGATGAATGTGCATGATTGTAATAAGACATACCACATGATAATGAAAAAATGAATGTGTATAGTTGTAATAAGACATGCCTATAAAATGATGTGTGTGAATGATTATAATAAGACATGCCACATGATGAGACAGTTGTGTCGACAGTTGAAAATCTTTCCCTTACTCCCAATGATAGGAAGGGAGCTAGAATGTGATGTGAATTTGGGAGGGTCGCACCCACAAAAATATATGTGGGTACTACGCATTGAGTCATCCTTTGGTAGTGTAACGCTCTATCACCAGAAAGGCATAAGGAAACGGTCGTGTCTTGCAAGGCCACAACCTATCAAAACCCCAAAGCGTACTGGGGACTGTGTGTGTGTGTGAGGCGTCGGGTCATTCATTGGTGGTGCTTCCCTCCTTATGAGATGGTAGAAGTTTTAAGCATCGGGATTTGATTGGCTTGATGGATAGAGCTTCTACTTCGAGAGTACGTGGAGTGAGTTGGTATTTGTTGAACTTGTTTATACTTGCTTGATTATGTTGATCTATTAAAATTTGCATGCTTGAATGATACGATATCTGATTTGTTATTGCTCCACCATGAAATGAATTACGCACGACATATTGCTAAATATGATTTGGGCATATGGCTACATGTTTGTAAGATTTGCATGACATCTTGATTATTATTATGAGATAATATTCATAAGTAGGAAATCATGATACCTTGATCTATTTACTGGGCTTTAGAACTCACTCTTTAAACTTTCCTCTATGTAGAGTGATAGTTAGCGGGTTTTGGAAGGGCATTCTGGTGATCGCAGTTGCAGCCCCGTACTCTCTTCCTATGGAAGCTTATTCTGTTTAATTGTATGTGTTAGATGGCAATTTGGCCATATAGTTTCTTTTGTATTGTGGTTGGGCCTACTGTGCATTGGACTGTTTTGTAATATTTTGGAACTATCATATGTAATTTTGTGGGACTTATTGTCATTTGGTTCATGTTTGTGTCTTTTCGTGCGTTGTTTTCCTTTCTTTCGTGGTTGGCTTTGATCCTCCTTTATGAAAGCGCTGAGCGCATTACACCTGAGTAGCTATCGCTACATGTGGTCACGACCCTACACTTTATTGTCTTCGCGGCAGGCCCGGGTTAGCCCTCTGTGGGTCCAGTAAGAACAGTAGGGGTGGGATTGTGACAATTTTGGATTGATTTAGATGCAGAATAAAAATTTTGAGTATAGAATTCAAGGCCAAAACCGGCCGATCCGGATTGCCAACTCGTTAATCCGACTTGATTTTCATGATGGCCTAATCCGTGCCATCGATTTGTTTTTCAAAACCTTGACCAAATCCAAACAACAAAAATAGGTTATAATTATAAAAATGAGATTGTCTACAAAAATACCATTTATCTTTTGTACAAGGATGTCACAATCACTCTTATCCCTTATATTTTTTAAAAAGTACGGTTTGTGTAGAGCCTAGGCTCTAAACAATCAAATTAGTGCCTACCTTCAAATTATGTGGAGAAATGTGGTTTCAACCATTGAAATATTTGTGATAGCCTTAAAATAAATTTTTATATTTTTTTTATAAAGTTTAAAGATTAAAAAATAGTGTAAATCAATAGATCTATGAAACTTTAAAATTAACGGTAAAAAAATGCATTACAAAATACACTTTTTCCTAAACTTGACATCCATTTTTTTCTCATGTCCATACATCTTGATGCTGAGACGATAAATTTGAAGATACTTGGGCATCAAAACAATATCTTCTAGTGAAATTTTTGAGGTGGTCTCTAATTTGATTGTTTAGAGCGTCGGCTCTATATAAACTTTTCTGATTTCAACATGGGTGGTTGTAAGAGAATCATTGAATAGACACATAGCTCTAAAAAAAATTATCCGATATGGTGACTCATCCCAAACTATGAAATTTGAGATTTAATGAGTGGAAATGATTGTGACTTTGTACAAAAAATAACAGGTCTATTTGTAAACAATCTTTTATCAAATTTAAAATATACAATGCTATTTGAAAATAAGGAAACATTTATATAGAGCTGAGGCTCTAAACAATCAAATTTGAGCCTACCTCACAATTTTTACTAGAGTAGGTTGTTTTGATGCCCAAATATCTTCAAATTGATCATCTTGACATCAAGATACATGGACATGAGAAAAAAATGGATTTCAAATTTTGAAAATAATGTATTTTGTAACGTATTTTTTGATCGTCAATTTTCAAGTTTTCATAGATCTATCGATCTACACTATTTTTGAAGTTTTAAACTTTACACATAAATACGAAAATATATTTTAAGGCTATCACAATCATTTCCAATATTGAAACCATATTTCTTGGTACTATTTGAAAGTAGGATCTAATTTGATTGTTTAAAGCCTAGGCTCTATACAAACCGCACTCTTTAAAATATAACTTATAAAATTTAAAGAGAAATGACACTATAAGACCCACAATCATGTGAGTAAAACCTCAAAAGATCACCATTAAATTTTGACACATATCTCTAGAAAAGTTATCACATGAGTGTGAGACTTGGGTGAATGGGTTTTTTAAAGATTTATATCAAAATTTAATAGTTATCTTTTGAGGTCCTATTCACATTGATGTAGGAGGGTCTTTTAGTATCATTACTCAAATTTAAAATATACTATTTTATTTTAAAAGGGAAATGACTTTTTTTAGATCCTCCTGTACTCATGCGTGTCGGATCTCAAATGATCATCATTAAATTAGATATTTAAAAAAGTTAAATCCTATATCTATATGATAATTGTTTTTAGAGATATGTGTCACATTTAGGGACGGTTAATTCACGAATGTTGTAAAATCATTACTCTCTTTAAAATATAAAAGTTCGACATTTCTATCCGTGTTGTAATTTCCCTCGTACAAAATTTGGTCCCGTCGGTCGTCGATTCATATGCCCATCCCAACTTCGATTATTCCGGAACTTGAAAGACAAGGCTAGGGTGTTCTCGTCATTTGGCGCGCCCTCTTTCTCCCGCTTCTCCAGCGCACTCTCCCATTTTCATGGCAAGTCTCCTGCAACCTACTAGCTTTTCCATTAGGGTTCGTACCCGTGTAAATTACGCTAAAACAAATGGTGGTTTTCTCTCACTGTCTCAATTTCACACTTTGTTTTTCTTTTTATGTTATTTTTTAAATTCATCACTAAGTCTCATTTTTTGACGTAAATCATCAAATTGTGTTGTCATGGAGATAACTTAGTTGATGAAATCTAGCTTTGGTTGCTAACCTGTTTGTGTTCAGTTTCTTGTTTACCAGTGCATAAACGAGATCATTCCTCCTCCTGCTTTCGACTGCCAAAAATGTCTGGAGACAGGGTATGATGTTTACATTTTAATCTTGTTCAACATCTAAATAGCAATTTGGTTTTATCTTTCATATGATGTCTGATTGAAGGAGTTCACTGAATGGTATGGAGACACTTTTTGTTATTTGTTGAACCAGTTAATTAGTTTTAGGTTTGGTTTTCAATGTCCTTCACATTGAGTGCTTATTTTGGGGAACATTGCCAATGTAAGACTTGTTTGTCTTGATTGGAGGGAGTTGGTGGTTTCTGACTCGTGGTTAAAGTTCAAAACATTTTTTACGAAAATGTTAACTGCACCATAAATGATTACGTTACATGTCTGATCATCTTCTTTCTCACTATCCATTGACTGGAGTACTTGTCTTTCATGTTTGATATTGTTGCGAATTTTAAATGATATATCCTTTCTCACTGTCTATGGATTGGAGTACTTGTCTTTTATGGTTGATATTATTGTGAATTTATCCCTGGACTTCTTCTTTTATCATTCTTGTTTTGATAATAGAGATCTTAAATAGAATCTTTTTTTTTTTTTCAAGTGTTATGAAATGGGGGCATTAGTGAATTCTGAAGGGTAATAGTTACGAGGCAGAAAATCCCGCTGCAACAGCTGCACCGGCTGTTTGATTATGAAAGGGGGCATTAGTGAATTCTGAAGTATAATAGTTACGAGGTAGAAAATCCTGCTGCAACAGCTGCACCGGCTGTTTTGAGTTGTATCTTTGTTTGCGAAGCTACTTCTTTATTATCTGTTCTGAATTATCTAAACCAATGTTTAAAAAAACGGAGCGGTGACCTAAATCAGTCTCACCCATACCCGTATCGGATCGGTGGATCGGATTGAAGAATCAGCCGAATTGGCAATTTTTGTCCCAAAGTTTTTTCAAAAAATCACTATAAATCTCCAAAAATAGTGTTCTTGTATTTTCTAAAAGAAATTAGGAGTGGTGCATTATGTACTTTCATTACTTTGTAAAAATAGGTGAATGCAGAGATGGTTTTCTTTTTGGATGTACATTTTAGTTATGTATCAAGAACGTAAATGTTATTGCATTTCAAAAAGTAGATCAAATTGAAAAATACAACTTTTTTTCCATGATAATTATAAATTCATGTTATAGAATTGAATATAATACTATTATTTTCCTAATAATATTAGGCTAATATAAAAAAACTACTATTTTCCTAATGTTAATTTTAATTCAATATAGTATTCTCACAGTTTAATTTTCCTAATGTCAAAACTGCTGATCAGATTTTAATATTCCCAATGTCAAAACGCTCATCACATTTTAATTTTCCTAATCTCAAAATGCACATTTTAATTCTTGCCATTTTTTTAGCATTCATTTGATTCTCACTATCTTAGCACATGAACGAGCCAGACAAGTAACCCAAATACAAGGAAGGTCCCACCAAATTATTATATTGTATTTGAGGCCAATCAAATCTCTTTTGCAATAGGTTTTCAAAACATTCACGACACGAAATAACTTATTTTAGTGCACAAAACGTTAGCACACCAAGCAAAAAACAAGTATTAAATCTTTTAAGTGTCAATTTGCATTGCAACATGTAAAGTCAACAAATGTGATATATCCCACATTGTAGGGTGAAAGGAGACAAATTTTCTTTTTTTATGTGTTTAAGGCTCCCAAAATTACAGCCTTGCACGCGTGCGTGGGAGGCAAGGTTTCAAAAATTGCTAGGCAGCAGCTAGGGCCTAGCCGGGTGCCCAGAACCATGGGTGCCCTGTAGTACAAGTTCTCTCTCTCGCTTTCTCTATACATATATATATATAAACTAGTTCAAAATTTCAAAATTCAAACCACCTAAAATTTAAAAGTTTAATAGGAAATGTATTAGTAATGATCTCCAGCTCTCCATATTACATAATAAGTGAAAAAGTTTAGGAAGCTTCTTCAAACCACAAATAGCACTTTTGATTATCAGAAATAGGTATAGCTAAGACATTAAGGGTTTATAGAATTGTTCTTTTAACTTTAGGATTTTAAAATAATCCCCATAGCCTATTTAAACCTTTTTTGGGGGTTAAAATTACCTTTTTTTCCCTTTTGGGTATCTTAAAAAAAAATAAAAAATAAAAAATAAAAACAAGCCCATGTCCCTGGGTGCCCGCCTAGGTACATCTGCCCGTGTTGGGCCACTTGGGCTTGGGTGTGCGATGTTTTGGTCCAAGGCGCCTAAGCGTTGGGCAGACCATTTTTTTAAACATTGGTGGGCCCAGGTACATCCGCCCGTGTTGGGCTGCCTAGGCCTGGGTGTGCGATGTTTTGGTCAAGGGCGCCTAGGCGCTGGGAAGATTGTTTTTGGAAACATTGGTGGGAGGTTGGGGGCTATTGTGGGTTGGGTCCCATTCCACGTGATGGTAGCCTTTCCTCATATTTTCAAAAAATTTCAAAATCATAAATTCAGTTGTAAGGGCGGAGGGGGGGGGGGGAGGTGTTTTTAAAGTTCGCACCCATTTTTTCAGAACAGTTGATGAAGTCATCACTGGTTCAATGGTGTCATAACCGGTTCTGTCAGAGAACCATTAAGAACCGAACGAATCTTGTTTTTTAACAGATCCGATACAGCTTTGCTGATATCAGATCCGGATCACCCGATTTCGGATCGGGTCACCCATTTTTTAAACACTGATCTAAACTGATGGAAACATAAAAGTAAAGGGGGTATACTTGCATCCTAATTGTGGAAGGAAGTTGAACCATAATCTACGTGTTAGAATTCGAATGATATCACTTAACTTTGTTGAGGAGATCTAGGGTTCCTAAGGCTGGGTTTGAAACTAGACCTAAAGTTGGCCACATAAATGTCAAAAAGCAATAAGCATAGCATCTAATTTGGGACTGATTTGTCATGGGATATTATATTACCATTTTTATTGGTTTTTGTATCATTTCACATATCTGATGTGTCAAAACGCATAGCTTGAAAACCTTGTTCATTTTTTTAATCTACTCTCTCATAGAAGCAATTCGATGCAAGCGAACAACTTATCTAATGACATGCAACATTTCTAAAATCGGAAAGAGAGATGCAAAAATTGACAAAACTGTAAGAATGATTCTTTTGGGGTTTCATGCCACTACCATAAGTTTGTTCATGTACATGGACGGTTGTGTCATTGGACCTCTATGCCTTTACCCGCGTCTAATAGATACATGCTTACAAGAAAAAACAACTAGAGCCACAAATGACTTTTTCTATTCTTGTGGTAATGGACTTTTTCGGTTTGGGAGCAATGGACTTTTTTATTAATTTTTTTTCCCAAAAACCCAAACTACATATCAAAATGGGAAAATAATAATCCAAATAGACAATAACATATCAAATATATATCACAAAGTATCAAAAAAAATAAAAAAAATAACAAATAATATTATTAGACACTAAGGGGGAAAAAAAAATACAATACCTAATGAAAACTATTTAAATATACCAACCTGCTTGAAGTGGACTCGATTTTGGGTCAAACCAAAATGTTTGGGATCCCAAATCTCCCCTTTTACAACCCCTATAAGCTTCAAAAAGATTGGGGATGATTATCCTTTAATATCATGAACATTCGAGGATTTTGAAAAAAATCAATCTCTCAATAAATCTTCAAATCTAGTTTTTTTCAAGATGTTTCTTACTCTAAAGTTCACTAAAATTGTTTTTGGGGGCAAGGTTGACCCTCAAAACCCTTATCCGCCCTTTTAAGGGCGTAAACTTACTTTTTTTGCCCTCTCCCGAAAAGTTTTTCCGCCAATGTCGAGGCGGCGCCTTGGCGTCCGCCTTTTACACCACCTAGGTGGGTGCCTAGATGGGCGTCTAATGTTTTTCGCCTAATGCTGTCCGCCTTGACCACGCCTAGGTGTTTTTTAAAAAAGTCCGCCTAGTTTTATCCTGGTCATCAGTTATTAAAAGTATTATCTTCTTCCATCTTCTCATTATATCAATTTAGTTTTATGTGACTTTCGCTTGAAGGTGAAATCAATTCATTAATCTTGTAATAGGTTTGTGCAAGAAACCGGCTGGGTATTTACTTAAGCAAGTCCAGATATAGTCTTTGTTTGCCATATAATTCTCACAGTTGTTCCTCCAGTTTTATATTTCAAAATATAATTCTCAAGGATTTCTATTTTGTTGATACATTCTAGGTTAAGATTGGTTTATTGGTTCCCCTTAACAATGGACAAGAGGAAGATGGCATGTTAGCAAAACTACCTGTTTTCCAAGGAGACAATGTCATAGGTCGCAACGATCTTGGGACAACTGATAAAAGAGTAAGCCGCAAGCATATCAGTTTGAATGCTATGGATGACGGTTCTGTTGAAGTTGTGGTGGTATGTGATCATCTTCTACGCATATATATCTTCTTCACACAAATGTACCTTAATATGTTGAACTGTTGATAATCTTTGAAGACTTATGGAAAATAGTTTCCTTATTGGTGTCCATAAGTTTTATATGTTGCAACAGTTTTGAGAGTTATTATGGTTTTAGAAGTTGTATTTATAAGTCGTTCACTTTTATGCATGCTGATAAAATTGATTTTTTTTTGATGAGTGATAAAATTGATTTGACTCATATTATTTTGGAAACTTATTACTTGATTTCTATTATTTGACGTGCTCTACTAGGAAGGACCAAATCCAGCCATTGTTAAATCTGGGGTTCAGAGGAATAAACTGGGTCCTAAAAATAAAACCGTAATGGTTCATGGAGATGTTCTTGAGTTGATTCCTGGAAAGCATTGCTTTAAGTACATGGTTGTGGATTGTGATAAACAAACCTCTGTTTCCAAAATGTCTTCACATGATCCACTTGAAGTGAAAGAAGCTAGTGTGGAGAGGACTTTGAGTACAGTCAAACGGAAATGGCAGGATCCTGAACATGAAGAATTTGTGCAGGCAAGCTTTCTTCCATCGCACGTGATTGCTATTTATGCTTGTGTCGATATATGTCTACAGATGTGTTAGATAATCATTATGTCAATTTCCAATAGTCTTAACGTGCATTTTCACCAGTCCATACTTGCTCACTGCTTTGAAATTCTTGCATTATTCTGATAATTATCTCTTCAGGATTATTATCCTTGATGCTAGAAACGTAACTTTTTTGTTCATCAATTGCTTTTTTTTTGATTCATGATATATTTCTTTATCAAGGGCAGTTCCTTTTTATGGTATTTAATTGTCAAAACTTGCAAACTTAAAGCTTTTTAGTGGAAGTTTGTGCAAGTGTGACATAGTATGTTACGTTCTAGAAAGATATAGAGAAATAATTATGAACTCCATGGCTGTGGTAACATGGAGGGAGGTGCAGATACATGTATATCTCCTTTTTGTTTGATGAATCAGGGTCTTGAAATATTTAGCTGGTCTTTGTTCTTGGGTCTGGTCAATTGTAGACCCTTGTTAGAAAGTAAGGGTTAGTGTGATTTGTGTCAGGCTTTTGTGGCCTTAAAACTGTGCAACTTATACCCTTTATTGATTTATTAGCTCCAGTGGGAGCTCGGATCCTGAAAGGGGATAGTTGGGTGGCTCGCCTACCCTTGTGGTTGATCAATTGGCAGTCTGGGGTCATAGAAACCCTTGATAACGAGTTTGGGCTAAGGCCCGGATTTTTGTTGTGAGGATTGAAGGGTGATCCCTCAGTTGAGGTCAGCATGTTTCCGTGGTTAGAGCCGGGACAATATTTTCATGTAGATGAGGTGGCGTGTGAGAAGGGCCAAATCCTCGACATTGCTTCATCAATGACATGTGCATATGACAACTGCGTTATATAGGAGGCCACCTTCCTTGGAGATCGTTTGATGATGATGTGCATGAAAGAAGTGGCTATGTAGAATTCTAGGTTGTGAATTCAACAAATTTTTTCTTTTCTTCTATTAATTGTTGAATATTCTATTTATAGGTGCCACAAAAACAATAAAATTGGCTTACTACAACCTAGTAATAACTTCCTGCAAAAAATAAACTTTATTCAAACTGAATACAAACTAACAATTTTAGGAAATAAAATAAAACGATAACAATGTGAAAGAAAGTTCAATAACTGAGGGAAGACTTATTGATTTTGCCTGGGGTTAACCCCTTGGGGCTTTGCACACCCCACCCCACCCCACCCCACCCCACCCCACACCCCATCACTTGGCCAATAGCGCACTTGATTCCGAGCACTGCTGAATCGACAAATTTGAACCTAGGGAAGCACCCTTATTTGAAACTATGGGGTTGAGAGCATGGGTCGCAATTAGGGTTTCATAAAGAACCCTTTTTTTAGCCCTAGGGCATTTCGCAATTGGCACCTCCCCTTCATATAAAAACGAAGGCTGGGCGTGCCCCCCCTTTTTAATCCCTCTTAGAGGTATGTGCCACCTCAACTCTTATGGGCGGCGGCATGCCACCTATGTGATATATATATATATATATATATATATATATATATATGTATATCAGTGTTTTAAAATGCGGCCGCATCGCCGCATATGTGGCCATATGCGGCAGCATCATGCGAGATGCACTCGCATCCGCATCCCGTTCAAGCGCATATGCGTTTTTGACAGATGCAGTCACATCAGACCGCATCTCGCCTGCATTTGTTTCCATGAATTTTTTTTTCGATTTTGCCCCAAGAGGAGGGGCAAAATGGTCTTTTTTTTGTTCCAATGTTTAGGGAAACTGTCTGGAGGGTTACTATACCCCCTAATCAAAGATTTCCAGCTACTTTTGCGGCTTTTTTTGCATCAAATCGAAGAAAAAAAAAAAATTTGGCGAAAATTTTTTTTTCATCCAAATCTTCGATTTGGCGGTTGTTTGATACTTGGATGTTCATTTGATGCATTTTATTGTTGATTTGGGGATGTTAAAGTCAATTTGTGATAAGAAATTGGGGATTTCAGAGGCCGTGAAGAAATCGAGCACTACTTCACAGAGTTGGTAACTTTTTATTCCTTCTTGTACGATAATATTGTTATACTTATTTTTGGGGTAATGTCTTCTTCCCAACGGGTACTCTTTTTGTTAAGTCTATTGATGCATCAAACAAGTCACAAGATGGTATATACTTATTTGGCTTGATGGATGAGATTGTCGATTTTGTTGGGGAGCAAAATGTGGTAGAAATTATCACTGACAATGGTGCCAACTATGCTGCAGCTCGGCATTTCTTGACTTAGAAAAGGAAGCGTATGTTTTGAACACCTTGTGCAGCTCACTGTGTTAATCTTATGCTTAAGGAAATAGGTACAACATCTTTATTTAGTGGGGTGATTTCAAGAGCTATGTTTGTTGTTGGATTTATTTACAATCACACCATAGTCCTAAGCATGATGAGGTCTCTTACAAAGAAGAGAGAATTAGTGAGACCGGGTATCACTAGATTTGCCACGTCATTTCACTCTTCGAAGCCTAGCCAAGCAAAAAAGTGCCTTGAGGACCATGTTTGCTTCAGAGCAATGGAGTCAAAGCAAATGGTCAAAGCATAAGGATGGGAGAAAGCTGAAAAAATTATTTTGACTACATCTTTTTGGAGTCAAATAATTATTGCATTGGAGGTGGCTCGCCCTTTAGTGAGAGTGCTGCGACTGGTTGATGGTGATGCGAAGCCCGCCATGGGCTACATACATGAGGCAATGACTAAGGCAAGAACTGAAATAAAAGATGTTTTAAAGGATGATGAAAATATGTGCAAGGCTATGCTTGAAATTATTGATAGGAGATGGGATACTCAGTTTCACAGGCACCTCCATTCAGCCGGTTATTTTCTAAACCCATCTCTTCACTATAAGCACCCATCCATTGAGTCAGTTCGTGTAATAAATGGTGGGTTTTTAGATGTGTTGGAGAGGTTGGTGCCAGCCAAAGATATCCAGGATGAGATCCCGAGTCATGAATTGATTAAGTTTAAGTTAGCCTTGGGAAACTTTGGGAGAGATATTGCCACTCGATATACGGACACTACAAATCCAGGTAAGGGCCAAAAGCCCAAAAATAATCTTACTTGTCTCTTACTTTATGTATAGTTCCATTGTTTATTTTATACCCTTAATTTTAGCTATATTCTAAATTATAAAATATTATACAGCTGCATGGTGGGCATATATGGAAGCGAGACACCAAATCTACAACGTCTCGCTATTCGAGTGTTGAATCTCACATGTAGCTCATCTGGTTGTGAGCGCAATTGGAGTGCATTTGAGCATGTAAGTCCTTTACTCCTTATTCCTTAATCCTTATTTCTTGAATTTCAATTTTCTAATCTAAAATCTAATTTATCTGATTTCAAATTTCTACCACAGCTCCATACAAAAAAAAGAAATAGGTTGGAGCATAAAAAGTTGAATGATTTGGTTTATGTGCGGTATAACGAGCGGCTTAGGGAGAGGTATGAAAATCGCACGAAGCTCAACCCTATTCAATTATATGAAGCTGATGGTGATTCCATAAGTGAGTGGACAGTGGATCCAAGACAAGAGCGTATTTTTGAGGGTGAGGATCTTACATGGCTTGATGTCGAGCTAGCAACAAGGGTTAATGAAGAAGATCGACCTAACACTAGAGCACAAAGGAGTAGAGGAGCTGCTGGGTATAGTCGCACTCGTACATTAGCGTCAGAGGTCGAGGAGGAAGCTGACTCAGAGGAGACCGATGAAGAAGAATACATGGAGGCCGTCGAGGATGATATTGACGATGCGCATGATGACTCTACAAGATGACTTGTCTGATTGATA